TCCCGGAGTGGAAGGCCCACGCATGCAAGGGACCACCTCTGACTCCCAGCCTGTTCGTCAGCTCTCCTAAGCACTTGTTGATGAAGCATGACGGTGACCGTTTATTGAGCATGACTGAGCCAGGCCCTGTGCTGAGTGCCTTACAAACAAGCACACACATGACCACATGTCGTCGTCACAGCAGCCTGTGCAGGCACGAACCATCAGGACCCCCATTTTACAGAGGGGGAGACTGAGGGTCAGTGAGGTTAGTGACTTGTCCAAGGTCTCCTGGTGAGTAAGTACCCCAACTCCAAAGCCTACATGGTCACCACCCTGCCCTGTCAGGCCTTGGGATCCAGGACCATAAAAATACCCCAATTCCAGAACATCCAGTTCCCACACAGGACACAAACGCCAGGGTATCTGGCAGACAGAAGCAGAAGCTGGTCTATAATAGATAAACGCCTCCTCTGAATGCTCCTGAGGTAGTCCATGAGGTGGCAGCCCATGGGCCTGGCTGAGCATGTTTGTCCCATGCCCTGGCTGCAGGGTCTCAGGGGCATGCCCTCTGCATTGCTCACAGGGAGAAGGGCCTTGGCTTGGGATTCCGAACAAGCAGACGGGCCCCGCAGCCCTGGCAGCTGGAGGGGTCTCCTGGCATGAGGTAGGGGAGGGCAAGAGGTCCCTGCCAGTAGGGGTGTGCCAGAGGCTGGCCTAAGTGGCCTTAGGAGTCCCTGGCCCCTCTGGGGCCTGGTAGGAGGCAAGTGTGCCTCTGGGGGGTGGTAAGACGCAGCAGGAGGTGGGGAGGGCCTGCACCATACCTGGTCTATGTGCGCCTCATCCATGTTGCCTTTCTTTTCCAACACCACTTCTAAGTCTGGGTCTGGTTCCTGCACAAGAGGGCAAAGTCGGGTGAGGTTCAAGTGCATAGCGGTGAGGCCTCTGCCCCAGCAGCCCAGCCAAGCTGAGATCATGACAAAGCCCAGAAAAGACCCCAAGACCACATCATCATCCCAACCTCTGCCATCTATAAAAACGCCTCACCATCAGCAAAGCCCTTCCCATCCTTTTTCTTCCTTGATTCTCTGCCCAAACGTGGCACTAACCCAACTGACAGACAAAGAAACTGAGGCTCAGAGAGGTGAAGTGACTATCACAAGGTCACCCCAAAGCTTGGGACAAGCTGATCCTAAACCCAAGGCTCTTGACTCAGGGTTTGGTGCATATGCTTTCCTCCACACACGTCACCGCACTCCCCACGGCAGCACCAAACCAGCAAGAGAAGAGAAGTCAAGGGCCTGCTAACAGTGGGCGAGGGCTGGCAGGGGCCAGGGGGTGTAGGGGTGAGCTTGGACCCGTCAGTGGCGTCCTGCCACCAAACCGACCACCCAAACCCACCCAATCCTCTCCCTCTGTACTGCCACCCCAGTCCTGGCCACCGCCTTTTCTCCCACGTGGACAACCTCAATAGCCTCTAACTCCCTGCATCCCCACTAACAGCCCTAGTCCATTCCACACAGGTCAAATAAGTATCAAAAACTCAAGCATTGCTCCTACTCCTCCATCGGAGTCTCTGGCTGGTACAAGTAGTTAATGCACTTGACTCATGGCGACCCCATGCATGTCAGAGTAGCGCTGTGCTCCAAAGGGTTTTCAATGGCTGTAATCTTGTAAACGAACAAATTTGTCTTGGAAGAAGAATAGCAGTAATGTTCCTTAGAACTGAGACTTCGTCTCACATACTGTGGACATGTTATCAGAATGGACTCGTCCCTGGAGAAAGACATTGTGCTTCGTAAAGTAGAGGGTCAGCAAAAAAGAGAAGACCCTCAACAAGATGGACTGATACAGTGGCTACGACAATGGGTTCAAACACAGCAATGATCGTGAGGATGGCACAGGACCAGGCAGTGTTTCGTTCCATCACACATAGGGTTGTTGAGGCAGAACTGACTCGACAGTACCTAACAGCAACAACAATCTTGCAGGAGATTGCCAGGCCTTTCTTCCAAGGCGCCTCTGGGTAGACTCGAACCATCCACCTCTCAGCTGAGTGCATTAACCATTTGCACCACACAGGGCAACTGTAACTGATTAATGGGTAAATAAAATGTGGTATGTCTTCACCAGGCCCTCATCTGCTCCCTTCCTTCTGATAAGAGGACCTCAGCGTTTGTCTCAGAAACCCTCCCCCCGTCTCGGATGGTGTGGTTTGGGTGGGCCTGACCCCCAGCACCTCACTCCTAGTTTCACACTCTGGCCTTCTGGAGAGACCGACCCAAGCCAGGCCTGTGACAGCAGCCCCGGAATCATTCTGAAGGGGCCACCTTCCTCGTTTGCAGTGGCAGAGGTGCTAGGCCAAAGCCTGGAACTGGGGGCCATCTTGTCACCGTGGTATGTTATGGGGAGCCTGTCTGGGGCTAAAACCAACACAGAAAAACCAAGCCCGGAGCTGGGGAAAGTCATGTAAGCGACCCCAGCTATCCACATCTATCAGACTCCTAAATCTTGGATACTGAGTTCAGAGAGCAAGCTCGGATTGCTATGGCTGCCACATTATCTAAAACGCTTTGGTTCCTGAGTTTTGGGTAACAAGCGGCAAAAGTTCAAAAAGCAAGGGATTCATCTAAAAAAGTGGTCCCAATTTATTCAGACCCTGAGTTTAGACAGTGAGAATGTGGGTAGTTTCGATGGCAAGGGATATCTGCAGGGCCGATTACCCAATAAGCACGGTACACATGGGCTTACTTGTGCATACCTACTAATTCGTAGTACACGATTTCACCCATTTTTCACATCAAAGAGGCTGGTGAAAGCCATGTGAAATTATGCACTACACATTAGTAAGTAAACACAAGTAACCCGTGAGTACCTTGCTTACTGGTTAATCCACCCCTGGACCTGTATTATTGATATTACGTGAGCCCCTGGATCCAGCCATCCCTGAAGCTTGCACGCCCTTAGACTTTCCAATTCCATGTGTCAATAAACCCCCTTTCTGGCTGAAGTCAGTTTAATCAGGGTTCCTGCAACTAAAAGCATGAGTGTGTGAGAATGTGCACATGCACACGTGTTGCACACACACAAACACAGACACACGGGCACTCCAACCCCCCACTCTTATTCCCTCCAGGCAGAGTCCATTTCTGAAGGAAAGTCTTACCTCCTCACAAGATTCTTCTGCTATCCTGCTCTCTTTCCTTTTCTTCTTTTTCTTCCTCTTCAGAGCTGGCTCCTCAATGCCTGGCTGCTCTGCCTGCTTCTTAGACTTGGTCTTCTTCTTCACTGAAGTTTTGGGGTCATCTCCTATCGGGATGTATTCCAGAACCTCGGCTTTGGCTGGCTTCTTTTTACTTCCTTTCCTAGGGCTGTTCTCCGTGGACCTGAAGACCTCAAGGTGGCCCAGGGGCAAGTCTCCCTCCTGGTAGATTTTCTTTTTCTTCTTCATCTTGACGTGGTGTTCCCTGGGGCTCCCCTGCTTCCGTTTCTGCCCCGAGGTTGCCGGCTCCTCAGCGTCCTTCCCTAGCGCGCAAGCGCACCGAGCATCCCCAGCCTCACAGAGCCAAGGGCTCTGGGCTGAGAAGGCCACGGTGTCCTGGGCCCTTTTCTCTTTCTTGTGCTTTTTGAGCTTCTTGCCAACTCTGGTCCCCTCCTCACCTTGTCTGGGGTTCAGCGAGGTCTCCACCCCCAGGCCATGGGATACAGCCAGAGCTGACAAGGACCTCCTCTTCTTTTTTTTCTCCCCGCCGTGGCACTCAACAAGGCCAAGGGCCTGCTTCCTGGAGCTGGGCGACTTTTCTGTCCGTCTGGCCCGCAACACAGTCTCAGGTTCCAGGTGGTCCTCAGAGAGGACCTTCTTTTTCTTTTTCTTCTTCTTCACTAGAGGCATTTCGGGTGCCTGGACCACATTCTTAGAGAGGGATGTGGCTCTTCGAGGAGAAGCCTCAGTAAAATAATCATCTTTTAAAAGCGAATACTGAATCTCTGGCTCTTTGACCCCTTTCTTCTTCTTCTTCTTTTTCTCTGGGAGCCCAAGGCCCATGTCTACTTGTTGGGTCTTGGCGATCATTCCTGAAAAAAAAAGAAATGGTACAAGTTACCCCCACACCAAGCCACTCTGTGTTCAATTATGTGAGGTAACACCAAGAGCCATGTTTCTTGGAACAGGTGGTCTGAAATGTCAGGGATGGGGAAAATGATTACAGGGAAAAATGATCGAAGAAACAGCATGGAGTTTAAATTCAGACAGGCCTGGGTTCAAATCCAAACTCTGCTCTCTGACCTCGACTCAATCACCAAAGCTCCGTGATCCTCAATTTGCCCATCTGGAAAATGAGGAAAGTAACATTTGCTTCCTCAAAGGGGTGTTGGAAGGAAAAAACAAGAGAATCCATGTCAATTACTTGACATGTTTTTCTAGCCCGCCTCCTCAAATCTCTAAGCCTAGTCATTCATTCAACAGACATTTGCTGACTGTCACCTCTGTGCCAGCCACCGAGGAGACAACTGCAATCAAGCCAGACAGGCCAGTCCCCGCCCTCGTGGGCTTGCTGTTCACTGGACGCAGACAGAGATCCTGAGAAGAGGTCTGCCCTTCTCCATGGACCCGGCAATGGCAGTGGCACAATTAATCCTGTACCTTGTTCTAAATAGCTCTTCCACTTTGCATCTGGAAACGAATTCCCCCCAGCTGCATCCTGGGTAACTTACTCTCCTAACTGCCTCTTCATCTGGCCAGTAGGAAGAGCAGCAGCAAGGGATGGTGAGAAGACCTCCAGCTAGGAGTCACAAGACTTGGGTTCAAAGGGTGACTCTGACACTCTTATGCTATATAGCCTTGGCTTCTCTGGGCCTCAGTCTCCCCATCCATAAAAATGGGTGAACTACATCAGAGGCTACAAACGGGGGGACTTGGAGGCCACATCCAACCTGCAAGCCTGTTTCGCTGTTTTTAAAATTTCAAATCAATTGCCAGCATTTAATGATTGGAGATGACACACACAAACCTAGAATACCCAGCTCTTATTGAGAAATGGAAAGATGTGGCAGCACTGGGCTCATACTCCGACTTGGCAGCCATCAGCTGGAAAGGAAGCGTGGAGGGCTATGGGGAGGGGCTGTGGCCCTCAATACACATCAACTTCCAACTGGCCCACTCTCTCACTCCACTCACCAGCCCAGTTCCTGCTGCTCCCTGGACTCAAGGACACCTAGGCACTGGGGAGTCCAGAAACAGCTTGGACAGTGGGAAGGAAAGGTCAGTCCCTTCTCCAACTCACAGCTCTCCTAAGCCTCAGAGCCCAACAGGGCCACACAGGGGCCTCTCACTCTTGGCAGCTTCCAAGAGCCAGACTACACATGAGCTACAATTCAAGTTCATTCATAACCCATGCTACAGGAGCACCTGGAGAGTCAAAGGGATAACTGCACTCGTTCATTCATTCCTGTCTTGCTTCTAGCTATATGCACGGAGCCTACCTCAGTGCCTGGCACATACCTGGTGCTCAATACTCACAAAATGAATGAGTGAATGAAAGCCAGGAGTACAGAGATATAACAAGAAAAAAAACCTGCCATCAAGGACCGCATAGGTATGAGAGGGAAAAAGGTATAATAACAATGATACAGGTGATAAAAGCAAGCACAGTGGTGAGGTCAGGGTGCTGGGGAAAGACATCTAACCCAGCCTACCAGTTGTCAAGAAAGTTTCTGTAAGAACAGAGGTCTCAGAACTGGCAGGATGGTGGTACCAATCCGAGGCAAAGAAACAGTGAAGGTGGGTGGTAGGGGGACTGCAGGAGTGAACTTGGCAGGTTTGGACTGACTGAGTCTGAGGTTCTTTGAGCTATCCAAGGGAGCATGTTTGGTGGGTCTGAGGCTCAAGGGTGACTGACCTGAAATTATAAATTTAGTAATCACCATATACGGATGGCAATTAAGCCACGGACAGAACGTGGAAGAGACAGGCCTCAGGAAATACCGACATTTATGTGAGTGGGCAGAGGGAGAGAGGCTTGCAAAGGAAACGGAGAAGGTGCAAGCTGGAGAAGGTGGGGGGTCAGGGAAGCCAAGCCTCAGGATGAAGGAAGGATCATGGGAGGTGGCAAGAAAGAAGAGGCCACGGGGAGGCTGCTGGTCAACCTGATCCTTTTCTCCCACTCTCTGCCATTCAGATCTCTGGAGCAGTTCCTCCTCTTCAACTCTGATACCCTAAATGTAGTCACCCTTTCAAAGGAGAGGAAAGAAGAAATGCGATGTGTCCCCTGCAAATGCAAACTCTTTCTCCAAAAGCGCTTTCAAATTCTCGCGGTAGCCTCGTGAGGGTCGATGTAAATATCCCATCTCAAGGATACGGGCTCTTAGAGACTTTAACTCACTTGCCCAAAGTCTCAGTCTGCAATGGGCAAAGCTGGGATTCGAACCCAGTCCACTGGACTCCGGAGCCTGTGCTCTGTACAATGAACACCCCACTCCGCCGCAGAATCGCAAGCAGCGAGCAAGGGAGCAAGGCGGAGAGATCAGTCTCTCAAGGCTCCACCGCGCCAGAGCATCCGCATAAACACGCAAGTAGCGATTACGCCGAGGTCTGGAGCCAGGCTCCAAGGTGGGAGAGCTTCCTGGAGGCGGCGGCCTCAGGCCAGAAGCATACGCTGGCTCAAGGTGGCGGAGCCTTTAGGCATGCAGGTCGCCCGCTTTTTCCTCTGCTCTCCGCCGCGTAAACCCCTAGACCCAAGCCCCAGACCCCGCACCGCTTCACGCTGTGTAGCACCCTCGGCACTCACCTGTAGGCCAGACCTCCCCTCCTGCACGTGAGAGCCAGCTCTGCCGTGACCCGGAAGTCAATCTCGAGCCGCTGGCCCGCCCCCGCCCGTTGCGGCTCCTTCCGGGTCGTGGCCGAGCAGCATGCCCGGTTGCCGTGGGAACCGCGGCGTTGGCTGAGCTACCTCTGGCGTGAAGCCGCATGGGCCCGCGCAAGCAGTCAGCCGGCTCTCCCGAGTCGTCGGCCGCCACCCGGACTCTGGTGCCCACCGTTTCGCCCGTGTCCCCCGAACTGCCCGTCTCTCCGGGGCATGTCGTGGAGCCGCCGGGCAAGAACCTGTGGGAGCAGATCTGCGAGGGTAGGCTGGCCGGCCGGCCGAGAGGGGCGGGACCACGGCGGGCAGCGTCTCCTCAGTGCCTACTGTGCGCCAGGCGGCTGACGCGTCTGGCCCGGCTTCGTGAGCGTCGGGGTCCCCATTTTACGTACGGGAGACCGAGGCTCCAGAGGCTTGCCTGAGGTTAAAAGCAGCGAAAGGCGGAGGAAAGAGGAATAATGGGGACCATGTGGTGTGAACCAATGGTTCTCAAGCCTCATTTACTGAGCAGAAAAGAATCACTGGGCGGAGGTTGGGAGCTTGTTAAAAAGGTAGGGTCCCAGGTCCCGCCTACAGAGCTTCCGGTGTGGGGTCCCGGGAATCTGCATTTTTATCCAGTACCCCAGGTTGTTTCTCTTCGGTGGTCTGTGGCCCATGTGTTGAGCAGCCATGTGTAGACAAACGTGGGTTTTAATCCCTCTTCGCTTCTAACCTTTATATCCGCAAACGGAGTTCAGCTCACATTAGCCAACTGTGATTTACAGCAAGGGTCCAGTAAGTGGTGGTGGTGTTAGGTGCTGTCGGGTCGGTTCCGACTCATAGCGACCCTATAGGACAGAGTAGAACTGCCCCGTAGGATTTCCAGGGAGCGGCTGGTGGATTCGAACTGCCAGCCTTTTGGTTAGCAGCCATAGTTCTTAACCACTGTGCCGCCAAGGCTGTAATAAGTGTTAGCTGTTCTTAAGTAATTTTGGAATTTTTTGTCTCCTCGGCTAGGCAGTGAACGCCTCAAGATCAAGGACTCAGATTTTTTTTCTTCTTGTAGTCACCATGGCTGCCTCTGCTGTCTGAAACCGCACTGTCCAAACCTGTTGCCGTGGAGTCGATTTCGACTTATAAGCGACCCTACGTGACCGAGTAGAACTGCCCCATAGGGTTTTCAAGGAGCGGCTGATGGATTCGAACTGCAAACCAGTTGGTTAGCAGCCGTAGCTCTTAACCACTACACCACCAGGGCTCCTCACTGCCCAATATAGAACTTTCAATAATCTGTGCCATCGAGTATGGTAGACACTACCCACGTGTGGTTATTGATCATTTGAAGCGCGGTTAGTGCAAACCAAGGAATGGCATTTTTAAATTTTGCTTTTAATAAATTTAAATAGCCACATGTGGCTGGTGGCTACTGTATCTTACAGTACAGGTCAGTAAATGTTTGTTGAATGGTAGAAGAACGAATGCACCAGTATGTGATGGCACAGCAGAAGGAAGAGACAGAGTGAAGAGTGGAGAGAGGTGGAGAATCCAGAGGAGGAAGGGAGTAGGGGACTCTGAATTGATAGAACCTCAAAGGCAATCTGTCTTAACCTGCATCCAGTGCTTGAATTCCTTCTCCAGCATTACACTGCATTACATCCAGAAAAATCTGTTTTATTTTTGGAAGTTCTGTTTGTAACTTCCACCCGTTGGTCCTTACCCCCTTAGTGCTAATTACTCTTCCACAAAGAATCCCTTCAAATATTTGAAGGTAATTACTGTGCCTGCCTTTTCCCCAGAGCTTTCACTTTTCCAAGCCAAGCAGCTCTTCATGATATAATGGCGTGTTGTTGAGCAAGCTGCTTAACCACATCAATTAAAGGGGGTAATTATTATTCAGAGGAGCCCTGGTGGCTTCAGTGGTTAAACTCTCAGCTGCTAACGACCGACCGACGGACCGAAAGGTTGGTGGTTCAAACCCACAAGCTGCTCTGCATGAGAAAGATGTGGCAGTCTGCATCCTTAAGGGTTACAACCTTGAAAACCCTATGGGGCAGTTCTCTGTCACATGGGTTGCTACGAGTTGAAATTGATTGAACGGCACCTAATAACAGTCATTATACCTGTCTCACAGGGCTGTTGTGAGGACTGAATGAGGGAATGTAGGTGAAGGTGCTGAGCACAATGCCTGGCATTTAACAGGTGCTTAATAAGTGTTCAATATTGTTGACAAGTAGCCCTGGTGGTGCAGTGGTTAAAAGCTCTCAGCTGCTACCCAAAACGCTGGCTGTTTGAATCCCTCGCCATAGCAACTGCGGGAGAAAGATGGGGCAGTCTACTTCCGTAAAGACTTACAGCCCTGGAACGCTATGGGGCAGTTCTACTCTGTCCTGTAGGGTTGCTGTGAGTAGGAATCAACTCGACGGCAGTGGTTTGGTTTTTTAGGTTTAGTGTTGATAAACGTGCTTTTTGC